TAAGAATTTTTTACATTATCATGTCTTATTACTTTGCTCAAAACAATTTGTTTGTCGGAGATGGTTAATTGTTATGCGACTAACTGAAAATCAGTCCTCAAAAGGGATATACTGGTAGTGTTGAAGGGTTTATCTCTGTCCCTCCACTCAAATGAAATATGCAAGTGCTGTTGTGATCTTGAATGCTGTGATATACAACTCTATTTTTTGGATTCAACAGAAACACAACACCATTCAGTCAAAGGGAGAGTGATTGGGGTTTCACTCTTTTCATGCCTCTTAGTGAGCTTTATGACCCGTGTAAGGGGTATATAGTGAACGATACATGTGTTGTAGAAGGAGACAGGTTTCGTTGAACTTAAGAATCAGGGAGCAACCTGTTACATGAATTCTCTCCTTCAAACTTTGTACCATATTTTATATTTCAGAAAGGTTGATCAATTCATTTATTGGGTAAACATTGAAGAAGCCTTAATTTGCACCGTGTTGTCTCAGGCTGTGTATCATATGCCCACGACAGAGAATGATATGCCCTCTGGGAGCATACCTTTGGCCCTGCAGAGTTTATTTTATAAGCTCCAATATAATGACACCAGTGTGGCTACAAAAGAATTGACTAAATCATTTGGATGGGACACATATGATTCCTTTTTGCAGCACGATGTACCAGAACTCAATAGAGTTTTGTTGTGCCAGTGGGTTTTTGATGGGTCCAATTTTCCACCAAGTTTTAATGGTGAAAGAGAATTGAATGAGAATTGAGAGGGGTCTTTCTCTTTCTTCAGAGCTTCTCTCTTTTGCCCCCATTTTCATGCTGTCTCGCATCTTGGGTTTTTAGAGTTCCTTTTCCAGGATAAGACATTAGTGAGATTTTTATTGTTCATTTCTCCCTCTTTAAAATCCATGGCAGTTCAATTTTATCAAGTCTCTCCATGTTGGTTTTAAACATGGGGTCAATCTGTTTATCGTCTTAGACTGTTCTTTGAGTTGATCTTCAAGTTTTTGGGTGGTAGTTTTTTTATTTTTGGCCGACATGAAGCGTGTTTAGTTGCCAGTTTGATGATCTCAAGGTAATAATTTATTCTGTACTGATTCTCAAAGATTAGTCCTTACGTAATGACTAAATTTCAAATGTTGATTCATTGTAAATTTGTACATTTCGTAGCATGTAAGATTGCTCGTGGAATCTGAGGGTTGGGAGAATTAACTTCCCAGTTCAGCTTTCAAATGTAATCCAATGTTCCTTCAAATAGGTTTCATTGTTCATTGAAATACCAAATAGCCAAATGTCAACATTATTACTTACACTGCATCGCTCACTACGCGTGCAAAGCACGTGCACCCACTAGTTTCTAGTAAAGGGTGGTCAAATTATATGTTAGTTTTTATTAAAAATTGATTTTGTTTAAGCATTGTCTTCATTTTGGCTGTGTCGAACATTTTTTTTTTAATTTCTATTAATAGGTTTGTCTGAGTTACAATTCATTTATCTCTCTCTATACATAAGAGAAAATCTAAGAGAAAGATGTAATAAATTAAAATTCAAAACTAAAATATTACTTATTTCTGTACTTTATAATTCTAATATTAAATTTTCAAATAATATCTACAATATAAAAGACAATAGAAAATGAAATAGAAAAAACGACATGCAAAATAGAGTAAGTAAACGACTTACTAAATATCAATTAGTAACTTTTATAATTATAATATAATGAAGACAAATAAGATTTTCATGCGATGGAAGAACTGCTTGTTCTATTTTACGTAGGTTATGGAATTAGATGTTTTATGAATTTTAACAAGTTTTTAATTACAAAAGAATCCAAATAGAATGGTTAGTTGGAAGCTCGAACAATGCAGAAATTGGGCCTAAAGGTTCGATCAAGTCCTTGCCCAGCCCATTACTAAGCCTATTTCCACATTCACTATCTTTTAACCTTTCGTTAAGGGTAACGTCTGCATTATGTAGTGTAAAATTAACAATTTAATGTACTTGACCTTTATTCGTTATCAAATTTACATTCTTAACTTTTTGAGTCATATTCTTATCTTTAACCATTCATTAAAACTAGCAAACAATATCATTAATCATAGTTTTCGTTCAAAAACATTGTTAGCGTGTTTTAAAGAGAGGGGAAAAGATCTTGATTTTGTGTTTATCTTGGCTTATTTAAAATAAAAGGGGTAAATAAATATTTTTACTCTATTTTCAAAAAAATTGGATGAAAATGTCTTCAGGGAAATTTGAGAATAAAAATGAGATGCAAAAAGTTGACGACATAAATGTGATCATAATTAAGGTTATGGACCTTTCATGCGATTAAATTGTGGTGCGGTTATTAAAAATGTGGTGTGAATACGGAATACCTCAAAATGAGATTTTAATTAATTTTAAAAGATTAAGAATCCCGATGAATTTGAATAGATTTCCATAAAATCCATATCAAAAGATGTGGTTGTGTATATTTTTAACCTTGAAATCCTTTCAACTCTTTTGAAATTATTTTATCAATGAAATCCTTATAAATTCATGATTTTAATGGATTTTAATAAAATTCATCAAAATATCAATTGGAACACTTGAATTTAAGATTTAAAATTCATCGAAATCTCAGTTGATGAGACCTCTCAGTACCTTAACTGCACCACAGTTTAATTAAGTGAAAGATCCATGAACTCTACTCGTTGTCACATTCACGTTAACAATTTTTTTTTTTTCATTGCAAACTTATTCTTAACATTCATTAAATAACACATTTTATCCTTAATGACAATTTATGTTCAAAAAATTCATTCCAATAGAGTAAAAAATGCATATTTGTAATTGTATTTTTAAATAAGCATAAGAAGAAAATATTAAATTAGGTTAAATAATTATCCATTTTTTGAAAGCACGCTAATAGAATGTTTGGACGTAATTATTAGCATTGACTACATTGTCTAATTAATAAAATATTTGTTAAAAATAAGAATGTGATTAAAAGGTGACAAAAATGTTCGAGGGAACATATTTTAGGAATTTTTAACATAAATAAAATATGGTGAATGTATACCAACCTAGCCTTTCATCTCAAATTAATAAAATGTATAACTTCCCTATAATTAATAAAAATGAAAAAAAAAAAAAAACACACACACACACACACACAACCATTGTTTTCATTCAATGAGTCAAACCTAATAAAGTAATTTTTTAATAAATCAGTTGAAATTGAAAATTTTATTTTAGGATTATTATCTTAATACAAGAAATTTTAGCAATTGGGCATCACACGCTTATGTCGTCACCTTCGTGGAGGTGGAGCTACAGGTGACACAATTTGACAGTGTGCACGTGACATGCGCGTGCACACCCCACCTAACACGACAGTAATATTTATTTCACAAATATCAATGTCATACAGTGTCAAACACCTACTATGCCCTTCTAAAAATGTCATCGTGTCTCTGCGCAAATTACACCAACCAATGTCACACCTTGTCTCCTAACATTAAAAAATATTATAGCTTTATCCTTGCCCTCTTGAAAAAAAAAAAAAAAAGATTGAACTCCAACCTTATGAATCCCTATCGCCGTGCTCCTAGAGCAGTGTAGAAGAGGTAAATCACGGGATGTGCCTTATCAGACCAGGGTATCGGGCTGTCATACTGATCCCCACAAGGAGTCCAATTTCATATCTTGTAAGAGGCAGAAATCGAACTTTCACACTACGGTTGTCAGCTCAACTGAGACTACCTCACTCCTGTCATTTACACTACTGAGCTATACCTAAGAGATATCCTTGCCCTCTATATTTCATGTAGAACAATGCTACTATTACAGGAAAAAAATCTGTAAAAATAACATAACACACACATGGGGGTGGGCCCCACTTTTTATAATAATATTTTATTCACATGAGGCTCACCCCCAATGTGAACTATTTACAAATAAAATAGTTCTATACAAGTCGTTTAATTGTTTCATGTAACACAAAAAATAGAATAACACCCAAGTAATATTGCAATCAATTGACCTACTGAAATTAACTGACAAAATTTTAGTTTGAAGTTTATATATTTAGAGTTCGTTTGGTATGATTTTTGTTTCCTACAGAAAAGTTTTCCGAGGAAACTATTTTAATTTTTATTTGAAAATTAATTTTAAAAGAACTTATTTCAAAAAATGATTTTTTGAAAAAGTCACGTTAGATCAGTTTACTCTTAAAGCCATTCTAACTCAAAAAATCACTTTCATTTGATCGCTTTTAATGCGGTCGAACATGGATGAATTTACATGGTAGCATGTGGGGTCAAAAATCTCTAAATTTTTTTTTTTTTTTTCAGAAGTTTTTTCCATTGACATATCTCCCCTTCGTTAAAACCACTATTCCTTTAAAATCTAAATTTGCAATTTTTATCATATAATTCTCCTTTTCTACTTGTCTCCCCTGATGTCAACGACTTTTCAACTTTAAACAAGAATTTCAATTTTCGAGTGAAAAGCAAAATATTACTGGAAACATGTGCTGGAGAGAAAAAGATGTCCAAAACAGTTTTTTGCAACTTAATTTTTTATCCGAAGAATGTCTGGCTCCATAACCTGGTTATGAATCTTGAATAATAAAAAAAATATATATATATATATATAAATTAACTTCTTTCTCGTTAGTGGTCTAATTTGACCGTTAAGATGTCATTGCACCATTGTCAAAAATTTGCACGTGTTTGGAGACAAATTACCAATAAAAATGGAGAGAGAAGAAATTTTGAGCATGTCTACAAATATACAAGACAGAGTCGAAACTGAATAGATTTTTGTTTATTAAAATCAGTTCAGAAACATAGGGAACAACTAATTAACAAAAGCCCATAACTGGATAATAGTTGAAAAGGGGGAACATCATCATCTTAAAAACCAGCCTGCCAACTAGAAAGTTAATAAAAAGGGGAAATCCACACAACTGAATAAAGACAAAAATACTAATTCAACGAGAGAAGATTTCCAAATTTCCCATTTACATAATTGAACAACTATTTGTGTTCTCATCACTGAACATATGAGTTGCAGAATGATCACCACTGACGCCAGTATCACTGTAAGCAACAGGCTCATAATTGTAGTAATAACCAGTGCTTGGAGGAATGAAAGGAGACCTGTTGTACATCATCTGCGGCTGCTGCAAGGCATGCCTGTTTTGCAGGTTCATCAGTGATGATGGATTGTTGAATTGTTGATAGCCATTCATGTTCATCATCATTGATGTCGGATTATGTCCTGTTGCTAAGCCATTAATTGGGAAGCCTGCAGAAGAACCTTGGTAAACATTGTTGGGTTGAACTTGAAATGCTCCTCCCATAACATTTGAATTGGTTCCAAGAACAGATGCAGCAACATTATTAGCCCCATTTCCATTAAAACCAGCAAGATTCATCATACTGTTCAAGTCGTTTCCCCTTTTGACTTCAGCAGCAATGGTATTTGCACCAGTACCTCCCATCTGTGCATTTTTAAGGGCTGCAAGTGGATTTGCTTTCATTTGAACATTGGGATTAGGATTCCCCCTTTTTCCACCATTCCCATTTGCAGCATTGTTAATCTTCCCGTTGTTTGCAGCTCCAGCCATGGCAGCCATATCACATTTCTTTGCATTAACTTCAGCCTGTTGCTTGAGCATAGCCATTTGGTTTAATTTCTCCCTGAAAAGCTGCATTTCATCCTCTTCATCATATTCCTCCTCCTCATCATCAAGACAGTCTTCATCTTCTTCTGATACAAAGTGAAATTTCTGCTGGTTCTTGAGAGATTCAAGAGCCTTCATCATATCTTGCTTTTGCCCTTTTTTGTCTTTGTCCTCTTTGATGCAGTTAACTTTCTGTTTCTGGTTTTGGTTAGTTTTTTGAGACCAAAGTTCAGTATGTTTACCAGCTTTAACCAACTTCTTAACAAGAGTTGCAGGAGCAACACTCCCTGATACAGTAACCTTTTGTTGCTCAGCATCTATGTTGACTTGGTAAACTCCTGTGAGACGAAGATCAATCATTTACAGATAATGCAGCAAAAGAGTAAATTTTTAGGCCATAAAACAGACAAAACTTAGAAAAATTTTGAAATGCTGTAGCGAAGGAGGTAAAGAGAGAGGACCTTCAATTCTTTGCAGGATCTTCTTCACTTTCTGCTTACACCCATCACAGTGAATGTTCACTCTCAGAACACAGGTCTGCAACAAGAAAAAAAATTCAATTCAAAAAGGAAAAAGAAGGGGATTTTTAGGGAAAGCCCATAACATAGCTTTACTGTACATATATAAAAATATTGACATTAATGTATAAAAGCTGGGTCTAAACAAAAACAGAAGGTGTTACACAGAAAGAAAATACCTGGATCTTGAGAAGCTTAAAGTCTTCATCTTTAGTCATCTCTTGAGTGCTGTTTGGAAATGTAATATCTGCTACAAAAGGAAATAAAGAAATTACAAAGAACACAGTGTGCCTAAGCTAGTGGGGATAAAAGGGTTTTTGGTTGTCAAGATTCTTCTATCTTTTAACCCTTTTTTTTAACTCTTCGTCCTCAAACAAAGGAAATGCACATGGGGCGTGGGGATTAAAGCATTTAAAAAGGGGAAGGGGGTGTGCTGACAAAATACAAATTCAAATAAAGATTAAGGGGCGTTTGTTTTTTATTTGAGAATTGATTCTCAAATCAATTCTCATTTTCAACCACACATTTTTTAATAAAATAATATTTTTCATCATATCAATAATTTTTTCTTATTTTTTAACTACACATTTCTCATCATATCACCATTCAAAAATTAATTTTTCCCCCAAAAATCTCAACCAAACAAGCACTTAAACGCAAATTCACAAAATGCAGAAAAAGAGAAGTTAACTGAGCAAGATATGAAATGAAATGGAAGTCAGAATATTGAGAGAGTAAAAAGTGGGAGAGAGAAGAGGGTGTAGGGTGTATTTTCTCTGACTCTGAAATGATATGATGTGATTTAACGTTAAATACTGTGAATGAAACAATAAAAAGAAGAACAGCGACTTGACAGGCCGACTTCTATCTCTGCACTCGTTCTCACATGCTTGTCCTAACGTACACTTTCTTTAACATCGACAATGTATTCAAAAAATTGTAGGTAGGAAGTCTCTTTTTTTTATAAAAAAAAAAAAAGTTGTTATCACGTGGTACAATATAAATAACGATGTAAAAAATTATGTATATTTAGCACGATTGTATAATTTAACCCATGTTTGAGCCTTTTTTTTTCATAAAAAATTTTTTAAAAATTGATTTTTTAAAAAAATGACTTGAGGAGTGTGTTTGAGTCACATTATTTTGAAATAGTGTATTTTGAAATAGTAAATTAATAGAAAATGTGTAGTTGTAAAAGAAGAAAAAGTTATTAATGTGATGAAAAATATTATTTTATTGAAGAATGTAACCGAAAATGAGTAGAAGAATGAGAATGCGAATTTTAATGTGACTCAAACAGTAACTATTTAACACGAAAAATGAAGAATTAAAGTACGACAAATTGTCACCCTTCATCACTTGTTTTCTAAAACTTATTTTTTCTTATTTTCAACTATACAATTTTTCAATATAATAATTTTGTATGTGAATCCTTAATTTTGTCCTACTTTTTAAATATACTTCCCCAAAAAATCAATTTTTACAAAATTTATTCTAAGAAAATCTCTCCAAAATTGGAGTTCAAGCGCCACGTGACATGAAATAATACGAAAGAGTCATTCTATCGTAGTTTGTATATATCATGGGGTTGTTCTCATCAACGAAGTGGCCTATGTTTGGCTCATATTTATAAACTCTAAATCTACTTTTTATTAATTAATCTACTTGTACAAAATATGTTGACAAAATATGTATGGCAAGATTTAGGCCATTGATTTCAAAAACTGTTTTTGAAATCATTGGTCTAGATCTTGACAATGTATCTTTTATAAACCAATTGTGTCAATCTATTTTGTACAAGTAAAATGACTCACTAAAATAAATATATAAAACTCTCTAATACAAATAACATTTACTTATCCATCACACATTTTTATATATTTATAATTCTACATTTTTTATAAAGAATTTCCAAACACGTTCTTATTACTCACTAGGAGCAAAATGGATCTACCAATGGAGTCATCAATATGTACCAAAGTAATGTCTGCATTTATTGAATGGCTGAGGGATCCTTTAATTTGTGGGTCTTGTTCTTGGTTGTGAAAATTTATTGAAGCAACTACTTCTGTTGCTTTTATGCCCTCTGAAAACTTACTCCATGTGGAAGCCAAGGGAGAAACTTACCACAGTTTGGCCATTAACAGCTTGGAATTGGACTGTGATAATGTGGTAAAAGTAGGGTTGAACAAAACTCTCGAACTGAATCGGACAAAATCGGACTCGAACCAAATTGAACTGAATCGAAAGGTTCTTCTCAAATTAAATATCCGAATGGATATTTGAATCGAAAACCGAAATGTTTGGTTTATTCTCGGTTCTAAACTGAGAACTGAATAAGAATCGAATTTCCCTAATTTTTTAAATTTTTTATCGTAAATAAGTCAAATTAATTTATTATTTTTAAATAAATTTACTAACTAATTAATTTAATCCAAACCCAAAATATGATTTTACTATTTCTAATTTCCAGCCAAGCACAATTTAATCAAATTGACATAAGTTTTACCCAAATCTCAATTTTTACCGTAATGTCGTTTCTGTCGTTTTATTATTGTGAACTTACCGTCTTCGTCTTCCTATAATTTCAACAGTCAAATTTATGAAAAATTCAACAAAGAGGTTCAAAAGATATCACGAGATTGAACTACGTTATTTTGTAAAAGTTAAAAGTGAACACGTCATAGTCGAATTAATGTAACGTTATTGTAATATAAAATAAAATTAATTATTGTACAGAACTGGAAAATCGAATCGAATCGAACCGAATGGAATCGAATCGAATCGAATCCGAACTGTTCAATAATTAAATTTGGACCAGACGATTCCGTTTACTAATTATTCGAAAATTCGTGTTTGGTTCGGTGAACCGAACCATGCCAAGCCCTAGTTCGAATTATTGATATCTTCTTCTTTTGCATTTACAATGTAATCATATTCATCATGAAGCAAACTATGTAGACGGCACTTGCAAAACATACCCTCTCTAGTCTAAAGTAAAAATGAATAAAACTTGTTGCCTCTAAAACAAAAATGAAAATAGTCTTTTGTTTTTGTATTTTGATTCTGCATCAACATATTTATATATATATATATATGGAAGATGCTACATGTATTTCCTACCTTACTACATGGGTTACTATATGGCCACATGACGGCACCCCATGTAGTAAGGTAGGAAGTAAACATAGA